AGCGGGGAGGGGATGGCGCAAAGCCAGGAGCAGGGGACTCGACCCCAGGGCTCCCGTATGGGCAGCGGGGGCCCCACTGACTTGAGTTATCACTGTTACCCACCCTCTTAGGTGGACAGAGCAGAAGTGACTAAAGCACCCTGCTGAAGTCAAGCCAACACTCCCATCCAGGAATGTCTAGAATGCTGAATCACCCTGACCTTGTCTCTGCAAAAGGTCAACACTTGCCATGAGCAGGACTCCGTGCTACACATCACATGCACGCACAAACTGAGGGGCTGCTGTCTTCTCCCATCCCCCCTGCCTACGACGTATGAAATGCCATGCTGTGTCCCCCGAGCATTTTCCTCACCCAGTCATGCCACCATGTGGAAGTGGCCCCAGACTTCCCTGCCAGGAAGCGCTCCATCAGAATCTCTCCAAACTAACAAAATGCTTTATCTGAACTAAGAGTCTCTCTCTCAGTTGCCTCTGAATCCAACGCCCCCCAGGGGTCTGCATTGGCAGCAAGCGAAATGCCTATTATTTGCTTTCGAATGATGTACTTTTTTTTTGAAATTGGAAAAAAATCTCAGTCCGAGCAATTCATGTGGAAAGCAGTGAGTATTGAGGTGAGTTTGAACCGCATTGGGCAAGGCTTCCCTTGTGCTGAGAAATCAACATTGTTTACTCCTGGAATCCTGCCCAGATTTCTGTTAGCTCATACCCAGTTTGTCCTCCCAGTCTTGTGACTCACGAAGGTTTTTTTCCCAGCTAGGGAAGGTTACGAGGAAAATTCCTATGTGACCCACCCTCCTGCACTGATCCCTGGAGGTCCCTGACTTGGGTCACTGCCTCAAGGAGGAAACCCCCTCTGCAGGCCCGGCTGGCGCTGGTCGTCAACACAGGCAGCTCCCTTCCATTTCAGTGGCCCGTTGCTGGATCAACAAATCTGGCAAGACTCGGGACTCTTAAACTAGCCGCTGTCTTGTTAACTCTCCCTGCTCTGGATTGACGTGGCTTCACTGAGAGTGCGAGGTCTGCTCCATGTCAGAGGGGGCTGTGGTCCTCTGGGGGGATTTAGAGGGGCTGAGAACTCCAACCCAACCCATTCATGGTGCGAGTGACTGATAACTGGCTGTCAGCTGTCTGCTCAGAGAAGGCTGTTGATTGAAACGTCCACAGCTGGCTCCTCTGCGTGGCAAGAACGTTCCCCATTACAGCAGCTGAGCTCCCAGAGGACGCGTTCTCAGCGTCTCCCTATTCACCTAGGGAGGAAGTGGCTCAGGGCATTGATTTGAGATTTAATGGTGGAGAGGCTGAGGCTTTGGACAGCTCAGCTTCCTCACCCGCCAAATGAAAACGATGCCTTTCTCACCAGTTAGACAGGATATTTAAATAAGATACAGAAGGCCTTCCCCAGGTGGTACATATGTGACCGACCCACTCTACCCAGCTCACACTGTATGATGTGGGCAGAGTTACTCTGCTTTAGAGAAGGATGATTACTTTTCCATATCTTGATTCTGGAGTACTACAATTATATGATGATTATCTATGAAAGGGGCATGACAGTTGGTGGGATTTTTCTCATTTTTCCACAACAAGCATAAGCCAGTCTCTTGTATGATTTTTTTTACATTTAAAATGTAAAAAGTAAAGCTAGGGTTATGGACTCATGAATTTCAGAATGCCTGGAATACCCCCTCTAGCTTGGAATTTTATATCAATTCCTGCTCTCTCTCACCATTCCCTTGTATATGTATGTAGGATTCTGCCTTGTATCTGGGCTGGACTGTGACACTGTTTTAGCAACAGAGTGCAATCTAAGGCAGTGTCATAGCTTATCAGGCCAAGCCTCCACCTATAGCACTGATATCCCAAATGGGTGTTGGTTCGAGTCCTGGCTGCTCTGCTTCCAGTCTGTCTCTGCTCATGTGCCTGGGAAAGCAGTGGAGAAAGGCACAAGTGTTTTAGGCTCCTGCACCCACATGGGAGACCCATAAAAAGCTGCTGGCCTCTGCTTCCAAAGCTCCTGGCTTTAGGCTGGCTCAGCTCCAGCCATTGCAGCCATTTGGGGAATGAATCAGTGCAAGATTCTCTCTTTCTCATGCCTTCTCTCTCTGTAACTCTTTCACGTAAAATAAATAAATATTTAGGGGCCCGGTGGCATGGCCTAGTGGCTAAAGTCCTCACCTTGAACGAGCTGGGATCCCATATGGGCGCCGGTTCTAATCCCGGCAGCTCCACTTCCCATCCAGCTCCCAGCTTGTGGCCTGGGAAAGCAGTCGAGGATGGCCCAGAGCCTTGGGACCCTGCGTCTACGTGGGAGACCCAGAAGTAGTTCCTGGCTCCTGGCTTCTGATGTCAGACCCCGAGGAGACAAGAGACTCCTGCTGTCCTCCTTGTGCAACACCTGCCTTGAGTCCGCCTCTTCCCACATGGGTGGGAACCAAGACTCTCCTGCTGACCGCCTCGGCTGAGCTCCCAGCCAAAGGCTGGCATCAACACCCAGCCTGGTGAGCAGATCTGGGCCAGAGAGCCCATAGGTTCTATGGCACAGTGGTACCCTCCAAAACATCCCAGGCATCCTCATCTCCTGACAGTCATACTCTGCCATTGTCATCTGGTGCCTTTTGCCAGTCTGGACCAAGATCAACAGCATGAGTGATTCACACCGTGATAGTTCTACGATTAGTCTATACAAGGTCTATGGTTTCAGCCTTAGTGTCTCTCATGGGAGAAGCTCCAGGGAGAGGCATACACAGGTTGACCAACTCATCCAGAAGCCATCCGGCACTTCCCTGGCTTTAGCACTGGGATGTCAAACCTGAGGGCCTCTCCACCCACCCACCCAGTCCTTGAGAACCAGCTTGCAATATCACTCAAGGCCTATGGTGAGGATGGAGTGAGATGGCCAGCAAGTAAGGAACAGCGATGTGGGGAATCCACCTTGAAACCAACATACCCCTCGGTCCCTGCTGAAGCCCACTCACCACTGCATGAGAGACCCCTAACCAGAATTGCTCATCTAAACTGAGCCTGGAGTCCTGACCAACAGGAAATGTGTGAGAAAGCAACTGACATTAAATCTATTTTTTTAAAGGCTTATTTATTTTATTACAGATATACAGAGAGAAGTGAGATATGCAGAGAGAAGGAGAGAGAGAGAGAGAGGAAGATCTTCCATCCAATGATTCACTCCCCAAGTGAGCACAACGGCCTATGCTATGCCGATCCGGAGCCAGGATCCAGGAATCTCTTCTGGGTCTCCCACACGGGCGCAGGGTCCCAAAGCTTGGGCCATCCTCAACTGCTTTCCCAGGCCACAAGCAGGGAGCTGGATGGGAAGCAGAGCTGCCGGGACTAGAATCGGTGCCCATATGGGATCCCAGTGCATTCAAGGTGAGGACTTTAGCCTAGGCCATGCCAAAGCCCCCTCCCCCCCCATTAAATCTTAATACCATTAATGCTCACTAATAGGGGAGTAATTAGATAGCTTACACAGATTGCTATACCCCAGCAGATAACAAACCACATAGCATGCTATCTATGCTGTCTCTAGCAATCATGCTGATCTGTTTGGGACCTGCTTTTTCCTTTCCTGAAAATCACCCTGAGGGAGTGCTGCTCCAGTCCCTGGAGAACACAGTTGGGCTCCACCTGCTGGGTGAGTCAGTCCCACTCTAATTGTTTTCCAAGCCTTAACCATCAATCACCATCAATCCCTGGGGTCCGGGAGTCCTCACACCTCTCAGGTTCCAGCTGCTCTCTGGGGTCTCCCTGATTTCCCCAAAGGCCCAGGTGCTCATCTAGATTGTTAAGGCAGCCTTCTCCTGCGGAAAGGCTCCCTGCTGTCTAGCAGACAGCTGTGTGCAGAGGAAGCGCACGGGTTGCAGGGCTCACTTCCGCTGGAGTCAGGGAGGGACTCTCTTGGACTGCAGGCTATTCTGCAGGGAAATCCAAGGTGAGATCTCATTATGGAGTGTGAGTCGTTGATCTTGGAGGAACTCTTCCTTCAGCAGCCCCTTTTTCCCAGCGAGCTTGCTGCAGGCCTTCTTCCTGCCCTGGGGAACACGAGAGCAGAGGAACATAATCCAACAGGAGTGCAGAGAGGAGGCAGGACCATGAAAAGATGAGCTTGGGCCTGGCAGCATGGCCTAGCGGCTAAAGTCCTCGCCTTAAATGTGCCAGGATCCCATTTGGACGCTGGTTCTAATCCTGGCAGCCCCACCTCACATTCAGCTCCCTGCTTCTGGCCTGGGAAAGAAGTCAAGGACAGTCCAAAGCTTTGGGACCCTGCACCCATGTGGAAGACCCAGAAGAGGCTCCTGGTTTCGGATCAGCACAGCATTGGTCGTTGCAGCCACTTGGGGAGTGAATCACTGGATGGAAGATCTTCCTCTCTGTCTCTCCTCCTGTCTGTATTTCTGTCTTTCCAATAAAAATAAATAAATCTTAAAAAAAAAAAAAAACACCTCCAAAAGCTGGGCCTAGCAGCTTAAATACTCATCTTGCATGCTCTGGGATCCCATTGGGCGCTAGTTTATGTTCCAGCTGCTCCACTTACTGTCCAGCTCCCTGCCTGTGGCCTGGGAAAGCAGTCGAGCATGGGTCAAAGCCTTGGGGTTTTGCACTCGTGTTGGAGACCTAGAGGACATTACTGGGTCCTGGCTTTGGATCAACTCCGTTTACACTTGGGGAGTAAACCAGCAGGTGGAAGATCTTTCCCTCTGTCTCTGTAAATCTGACTTTACAATAAAAATAAATAAATCTTAAAAAAAAAAAGTAAGAAAGCTGAAGTTCAATAAGTGAATTAACCAAATCTATCCCCCCCACCACAAAATAAATGAGTCTGAAAGAAGACTCGTGGAAGTTCAGGAGTCCCGGCACCAACCAGTGGAATGTCTCATTCCACAACGTGTGGAAGCGGGGAGCGGCTGTGTTTAGTAACCATCATCCCATCAACTAAGAGCATATGGTATATGGTAGGATCATGACTCCCCAGTCAGTGCAAACATCATGCACTCTAACCTATCCAGTCAGTAAGAGCTGCATCCCACTTGGCAGCCACCAAGTAAGAGCCATATCCCCGCATTAAGAATAGTGGAACCAAGCGAACAGATCCTTCTACTTTGTTTAAAGAAAACAATGTGGGTCAGTCAGCTCACTGCTTACCGCTGGAGCTGTAAAAGGAAAGATCTCATCCTGGAACCAGAGAAGCCCTCTCTCTCCTCTTCTGGGACTTTCCAAGAACCCAAGATCATGGCAAAGGTCACGTTACGGACATGTTCCAGAGTTTTTCAGAGGACCTAGCCTTACTGTGGCCATTTCCTATTGTCTGTGATGTCACAGAAGATTGCAGAGATGGGGTGAGAGATACGGAAACCGAGCCTCTAGTCCACTGGACCCAGACAGAAGATCTGTATCTCCACGCTTTCTCCGATTTTGCGGATATTTGCATTTCCCTGAGTCAGACGCCATGTGTGATGTTTCATGGTGCCGCCAAGCTTTCAAAGCTTTCCCCTTGAAGATTTATTCATTTGGCTGGAAGTCAGAGAGAAAAATAAAATTACTCATTCCCCAAGTGGCCAGAGCTGATACAGGCTAAGCCTGGTGCGCGGGACTCCAGCTGGATCTCCCACCCGGACGGCAAGCACCTAAGTACTGTGTCTTCTTCTGCTACTTTCCCAGATGCGTCAGCAGGGAGATGGATCAGAAGCAAAGCAGCTGGAACTTGAACTGGCATGCTAGTGTTGCAAGTAGCATCTTAACCCCCTGTGCTGACATGCTGCCTACCAAAGCCTGCCTTTTAGATGTCCATATATTATTCCAAGTATAGCTTACATATTATGCTTTTTTTTTGTACTTATATTCCTTTTAGTCTATTAAAAGGAGTTTGAAAATAACATCATCATTTTTTTTAAAGATTTATTTTTATTTTTATTGGAAAGGCGGATATACAGAGAGGAGAGACAGAGAGGAAGATCTTCTGTCCGATGATTCACTCCCCAAGTGAGCGCAACGGGCCGATGCTATGCCGGTCCGAAGCCAGGAGCCTCTTCTGGGTCTCCCACGCGGGTGCAGGGTCCAAAGCTTTGGGCCGTCCTGGACTGCTTTCCCGGGCCACAGGCAGGGAGCTGGATGGGAAGCGGGGCTGCCGGGATTAGAACCAGCGCCCATATGGGATCCCGGGCGTGCAAGGCGAGGACCTTAACCACTTGCACCACCGCGCCGGGCCCAACATCATCATTTTTTATAAAATTTATTTTTATTGGAAAGTCAGATATACAGAGAGGAGGAAAGACAGAGAGGAAGATCTTCCATCTGCTGATGCACTCTGCAAGTGGCCACAACAGCCTGAGCTGAGCTGATCCAAAACCAGGAGCCAGGAGTCAGGAGCTTCTTCTGGGTGTTCCATGTAGGTACAGGGTCCCAAGGCTTTGGGCCGTCCTCAACTGTCTTCCCACGCCACAAGCAGGCTGCTGGATGGGAAGCTGGGCTGCTGGGAAACAAACTGGCACCCATATGGGATCCCGGGCGTCTGCAAGGCGAGGACTTTAGCCACTAGGCCACCGCGATGATCCCAAATCACACCAGTTTCATATACAGCAGGACTTCCAAGGGGCACTGGTACGATCAGGGATCTCATCTATACCATTCCTGCCCACTCACCTGTTCCTGCTCTACTCATAGGCTACGATGAACCTGGTTACCCAGACTCCTAAGTGTGGAGAGCTGGCCTGCTCCCTTAGGGCAAAGAAATGCTAGAGAAAAACAGTTTCTTTGGAATTCACAGGCCATGCAAGCCAGGTAAGTTAATCACATTGAACAGCTTAGTGTAGATCCTATCAAGCTTAAGTAAGTTGGGACAATTTAAAGCTGTCTGAGTATTTTGAAAATATTGCAAATCTTATCCCAGAGGGCTGGGTTTTATCATCCTGCTAAGAATTTTGTCCCGAGGGCAGCTGATGGATGGATTTAAACACAGGAGTGATGGTCTCATCAGGTAAATGGGAGAGTTGGCAGGGAAATGGATTCTCATCATGGGAGGAAAAGGAGGGAGTGATGCCAGAGTAGTTCCCTTTTGGGCCAGGAACTGCCCAAGGGTAGGGTGTGGGTCAGCCTGTGATGGGGCAGAGCAGCAGGTTGACTTGCACCTGCTCACCCCCTCAACCCTTCTTCCTAAGGCTTAGGGAATATGTCACAGCCCAAGACTACCAGGGCATTGGCATTCCCGGGGTCCACAGCTGGCTCAGCAGCAGTGAAGACACTGGGGAAGATGCTGAGGCCATGACTGCTGAGTCCAGGAGTCCCCTGATCTTCCTTCCTCCTGGAAAGTTTTGGAGGGCCCTACCTCCTGGATCTGTGTGAGCTGGAGCTTATCAAGCAATCCTACTGATTTCATATTTAGAGGAAAATACTGCCCCAGGTGCAACCCCAGGAAAAAAATCATTTGGTTTCTGCTCTCCCCCTAGCACACAAAGATCTGCAGCCAGCAGCAGATAGGGACTGGGCCTGGCATGGTGGCTTAGTAGCTAAAGTTCTTGCCTTGCATGCGCCAGGATCCCATGTGGGATTCTATTCCTGGCTGCCCCACTTCCCTTCCAGCTCCCTGGCTGTGGCCTGGGAAAGCACTTGAGGATGGCCCAAAGCCTTGGGACCCTGCACCTGCATGGGAAACTCAGAAGAGGCCTCAAGCTCCTGGCTTTGGATTGGCACAGCTCCGGCCATTGCGGCTGCTTAGGAAGCACATCAGCAGACAGATCTTTCTCTGTCTCTCTTCTTTGTGTATCTGACTTTCCAATTTAAAAAAATCTTGAAAAAATTACACTACTGAGTTTTGAATCTTTTAAAAATACTTCTTTTTTGGGGCTCGGCACAGGAGCCTAGCGGCTAAAGTCCTTGCCTTGCATGCACTAGGATCCCATATGTTCACTGGTTTAAGCCCGGTGGTCCTGCTTCCCACCCAGCTCCCTGCTTGTGACCTGGGAAAGCAGTTGAGGACGGCTGGAAGCCTTGGAACTTTGCACTCATATGGGAGACCCAGAAGAAGCTCCTGGCTTCAGATCAGCTCAGCTCCAGCTGTTGTAACTAACCACTTACAGAGTGAACCATCCAATGACAGACCTTTCTCTCTCTCTCTCTCCCTCTCTCTGTATGTATACCTGCCTTTCTAATAAAAATAAATAAATACTTTTTTTAAAAAAAATGATTTGGGCCTAGGCCAATGGCTCAGTTGGCTAACTCTCCCCTTTCAAGCACTGGGATCCCATATGGGTGCTGGTTCAAATCCTGGCTCCTCCACCTCCCTCCCAGCTCCGTGTTTGTGGCCTGGGAAAACAAAGAAGGATGGCTCAAAGCCTTGGTACCCCATGCCCATCTGGAAGACTTTGTAATAAAATAAATCTTTTTTTTATAAAGATTTATTTTTATTATTTTGTTATTGGAAAGGCGGATGTACAGAGAGGAGAGACAGAGAGGAAGATCTTCCATCCGATGATTCACTCCCCAAGTGAGCGCAACGGGTCGATACTACGCCGATCCGAAGCCAGGAGCCTCTTCTGGGTCTCCCACGCGGGTGCAGGTTCCCAAAGCCTTGGGCCGTCCTAGACTGCTTTCCCAGGCCACAGGCAGGGAGCTGGAAGGGAAGTGGAGCTGCCGGGATTAGAACCGGCGCCCATATGGGATCCAGGGCGTGCAAGGCAAGGACCTTTAACCACTTGCGCCACTGCGCCGGGCCCAAAATAAATAAATCTTTAACAAAAAGAAATTCCTTCCCTCATTCAATCTGCATAATTGCAGACACAAAAATGCCTGCCTCTCATCTCTTATTCTTTTTTTTTCTTTTTTTTCCTTTTTTAATTTACCTATTTTTATTGGGAAGGCAGATTTACAGAGAGAAGGAGAGGCAGAGAAGGATCTTCCATCTGTTAGTTCCTCCTCAAGCAGCCGCAATGGCTGAGTCCATCTGAATCCAGGAGCCAGGACTCTCCTCTGGCTCTCCCACATGGGTGTGAGGTCCCAAGGTTTTGGTGCCATCTTCTACTTCTTTCCCAGGCCACAAACAGAGAGCTGTACGGGAAGCAGAGCCACCAGGACACTAACTGGCATCCAAATAGGATCCTAGTGCATGCAAATGGCAAGGATTTAGCTGCTGATCATCCGTGCAGTGCCCTCTCATCTCCACTTGCCAGAAGACAACAGCAAAGCCAAACAACCTCCTTGGGGAGTCAGATCTGCAACTACCACCCACGTTTGACTTCAGAAAGCCTGCACTTGATGGGGAGCATGAACCTGAGACAAAGCAGACACAGGAGAGAGCCATCTCTCTCTTGCCAGCTCCCAACTTCCCTGCCCTCCTCAGCCCAGGAGGATGACAGTGCTGCTGACCTAGTGACCTGGAAACCAGGGATGGGAAGCTTCTGAGTCAGAAGCAGAGGATGCTAGACAAGTTCCCATCTACTTGCCGGGTCATGAAGTGCGTTCAGGAATGGAGCTGGGCCAGGAGCAGGATGCCCTACCTTACCAACACAATTATACCTCTCGCACTCTGTGATCCAAATGATTCCTGTCGCAAGGTCCAGCTTCGCGCCACTCACATGATGGGCCCCAGAAATGCCACCAGGAGGCATTTCTCTGGTGAATCTGTCTGAGAGCCGAGCCTGCTTCAGAGCCAAGTCTGTGTCTGAGGGTGCTTTTCTGAACGGAAAAGTTCTTAAGTCCAGCTGTTCAACTCATGGTTGGCCAAAGGATCTCATACCAAGGTGGTCACTAGTAGCTGATGTCATTCCAGTAACTGGACTACTGATTCTTCCCCAACTCCCTTTTCCTAATGTCCGTAAGCCTGGTGAGTCAGATTAGTCATTGTGGGCTCCTTGGTGAAGGTAGCTTGGGAGCCAAGGGCGGCAGACATTCTGAGAGCTCTTCCTGCCAAGTCAGGGTGGGGCCCGTTGAATCACACCCATCTCACAGCACTGTATATCTGAGTGAGGACCAGCCTCACATTCTTCCTTTTTTGTAGATTTATTTATTTATTCCGAAGGGTAGATTTACATAGAAAAGGAGTGACTGCTTTTTCACTCCCGAAATTGCTACAATCACTGGGACTAAGCCAACCTAGAGCCATGAACCAGGAGATTTTTTTTTTAAGATTTATTTATTTTTATTGGAAAGGCAGATATACAGAGGAGGAGAGACAGAGAGGAAGATCTTCCACCTGATGGTTCACTCTCCAAGTGGCTGCAATTGCTGGAATTGAACCAATCAGAAGTCAGAAGTCAGGAGCTAGGAACCAGGAACCAGGAGCTTCTTCTGGGTCTCCCACACGGGTGCAGGGTCCCAAGGATTTGGGCCATCCTTGACTGCTTTCCAAAGCCACAGGCAGGGAGCTGGATGGGAAATGGAACAGCTGGAACATGAATCAGCATCCATATGGGATCCTGACACTTGCAGGCAGGCAGAGGATGGACAGTTGCGCCATCATGCCAGACACATATTGCCCTTTTCTGGACACCAGTGGGTTATCCATGGCCCAGGAAAGCAGGAAGGCATCAAATATCACACTGAATGAAAGAAAAGTCTCTGGGCTTCTGAACCTAAGTCAGAGAGAGTCCTCTCAGTGGAAAACCAAGTAGCTGCTCTCCAGGGGGAAGCATGGGCAGCCCCTGCAGGGGCCCAGTGGGTGTCCTAGCATTTGAGAGGAAGCCACAATGAAGAGAGAGATTGTACCCACCGTTCCCTGATGATCTCTCTGGCCTATGAGCGGCACTGCTCTGAGCTGAGCAAGAGTGCAGTGTCCAACCCAGGCAGCAGAACAGAACTTGGAACAAACAGCTCAGCAGAGAGAAACAGAGGGACAATGGGATGGGGCCCAACCACTTCTGCAGACTCTGGAGCTCACAGAATGCCGGACCAGCTCAGCAGCTCTCATTGTGGGAGATGAGTGCTGTTCTCCAGACCGTAGCTTCAGAGGCCCCAGAGAGAAACGCCCACGTTCAATCAGTGTTGAGAGCCTTTGAGGACATGCTGAAACGGCCCTGGGAATGGTCTGAGTCCTCATCACCATTCAATTTTACATCCAGCAAGAAGTGAAGGTCTAGGGCCCGGCACAGTGGCCTAGTGGCTAAAATCCTTGCCTTACACATGTTGAGATCCCATATGGGTGCCAGTTCTATCCCTGTGGCCCAACTTCCCATCCAGCTCCCTGCTTGTAGCCTGGGAAAGCAGTCAAGAATAGCCGAAACCCTTAGGACCCTGCACCCATGTGGGAGACCTAGAAGAGGCTCCAGGCTCCTGGCTTTGAATCAGTCCAGCTCTGGCCATTGTGGCCACTTTTGAAGAGTGAATCAACTGACAGAAGATCTTCTCTGTCTCTCCTCCTCTCTGCATATCTGCCTTTCCAATATAAATAAAATAAATCTTAAAGAAAAAAAAAGTGAAGGTTTGCTTTGCTTTAAAGGTGGGGGTGAGGGCCCGGCGCTGTGGCCTAGCGGCTAAAGTCCTCGCCTTGAACGCACCGGGATCCCCTATGGGCGCTGGTTCTAAGCCTTGGGACCCTGCACATGCATGGGAGACCCGAAAGAGGTTCCTGGTTCCAGACTTCAGACTGGGCAGCACCATCCATTGCAGTCACTTGGGGAGTGAATCATCGGATGGATAATCTTCCTCTCTGTATATCTGACCTTGTAGTAAAAATCAATAAATCTGTAAAAAAAAAAAAAAAAGGTGGGGGATGATCCAAGCACATCGACGGGTCGCGGGAGATACACTCAGTGATCTGCCTGGGTGTGGATGGGTGACAGCGACAGGCTAATGGCAAGACCCAGGACAAGGGTGGCAGGGGAGCGTGGACAAGAGGAGCCGGTGAGGAGGGCAGCTGTTGATTTCAGAGCAGGGGCGTCCAGCAGGAAGACAGCAGCATCACACAAAACAGTGACCTGGACATTCCCACAGGCAGTGGTGTCTCTGCTGGCCTGATCTTAATTTCTCACCCGCACTCAAGTTCTGAGAGCATTTCGTCTGGAAAAGGTAGTGGAAAATTCTGCTGGTGTCAGCCTTGAGTTACTGCATTTTCTTGTCATTAATTCCTTCAAAAGATCATAGTATATTGACGGTATCCTATGAGGATACGGTACTCAAATGATTTATTATGGGCCCGGTACTGTGGCCTAGTGGCTAAAGTCCTCGCCTTGAACGCACCGGGATCCCATATGGGCGCCGGTTCTAATCCAGGCAGCTCCACTTCCCATCCAGCTCCCTGCTTGTGGCCTGGGAAAGCAGTCAAGGATGGCCCAAAGCCTTGGGACCCTGCACCTGTGTGGGATACCCGGAGGAGGTTCTTGGTTCCCGCTTAGGATCGGCACAGCACGGGCCGTTGCGCTCACTTGGGGAGTGAATCATCGGATGGAAGATTTTCCTCTCTGTCTCTCCTCCTCCCTGTGTATCTGACTTTGTAATAAAAATAAATAAATCTTTTAAAAAATGATTTATTATATATACAGCTTCTCTTCTAGATTATAAAGGTGAATTCAGGAATCACAACTTACCCGACTCTGAATAAAGTGAGTTCTCTTGAATATAGCTAATAAGTGCTTCATAGATGAGAGCTGGGCGGAAGAGCGAGGGGAGAGCAGCAGGCCACTTGGGACACCCACAGCCCATATTACAGGATCGGGCTTTGACTTCCAGCTGCGTTCCCCAGTCCAGCTTCTTGCTGATACAACACCCTGGAATGGAAAGCAACAAATGATGGCAGGGGCCAGCCATAGGAGACCCAGACTGAGTTATAGTTCCTGTCTGGCAGGGCTCTAACCTTTGAGGCATGGGCCAGAGGTTCTCCAGTTCTCTGCCCTTTAAATAAGTGAAAGACCATTTTAAATAGAAAAAGAGTGAGGGAAGAAAGTGAGGAAGGACTTCAGGGAAAAAAAAAGAAAAGAGGGAAGTAGGACAGAAGAGGGCCGGGTTAAGGAGATTAATTGACCAGAGATGTTAAGGGAAGGCGGTGGTGACAGGCCTGCATCCCAGTATATACGGTGTCACAGAAATGAACTTATCTATTGCCTCATCCCAAATGGCTGGGGACAGTTTACCTTCGGGCACTACGGAAGTTTGTTGTCCATCAAGGCTGTTGCCTGCCTTCTGTGACAGTCAGAACTCAGCTGCGCAGGCTCCATGGTGATGCAGAGTAGAAACAGGGAGATTCTAAAGGAAAAGTACGGGGAATAGGTTTCTAGCGGCCCTACCAACATGTTTAATTCATTTCTTAAGTGTCTGTGACAGCTCTCTCTTTAGCCGGTAACACTGATGTGGGGGCAAGTCTCTTCTATCTCATGAAAGATCTTTTAGTAAATGGGCCTAACCTTCCAGCCCACTCACGGAGAGCACTCTGTGATGATGAAGAAGAAGGGATCCCCGGAACAAGAACCCCAGGAAGCTAGGATGAGGCCCACGTGTGTGGGAGCAGGGCACACAGCCCTGCCCGTACCCCGGGAGCTTTACGCCTCGGCCCTGATCCCCTCAGAGGAACTTCCAGTAAGACCACACAGGACAGAAGGTGGCAGGGAGGAAGGGCAGCGGGAAGACTCGGACCCGGTCGCTCCATACCAGAGCCGAGGGCAACCGGGGGAAGGAGAGATTTCAAAGCCTAAAGATTACATTTCAACTGAGTTAACACGTCCTCGCATCACTTGATGAAATGAAATGCCTGAGCGGCTTCAGTCAATGAGCTGGCCCTGCTTGATCAAAGTCCAATTGGTCTAAAGAGACTGGCTGCCGCTCCGAGGGCAAGCACACTTCCATTCTGAGTCTAGATGGCTCACTGTGTGCCCCACAGGCCATTACTAGATGGCTTAAGTCAAGAGGCAGGGAACAACAGAAGGTGAGTCTGGGAACAGACACTGAAAAAAAAAGTCTGCCCAAGACTGGGATCCTGTGTTTCTTCCCAACACCAGGATAAGAAAATAATACTCCAAAAAGACATGGGGTGGGGTAGAAGTGGAACCCCAGAATCAGATGTCACTATAACACTCTTGTGCCTTAGGAACTTGCAGTGGCAAGAAGAAAAGAAGCAGTATAGGCTCTTCTCCCTAATAAGCCTCTGGAGTGTGTCTGAGGTGGTACAGAAACACCTAGAGGACAATCACACTCCATCACCTGTGTGACTCTAAACAAGTCACTAAATTTCTGAGTCTCCAGTCCCCGTTCTACAAAACCAAGCTAATTACTATCTACTTCATAGGCAGGGTGCAAAATCAAATGATACTGCAGATACAACACATACAACATGACAGCACAATTAAATGTTAATGATACTGCTGCCCCAACATCCAACTTAACAACTATGGACAAGTTTCTGATGGTAAGAAACATAAACAGAAGGATTCTAGACTCTTATCAGCTATGGCAAAAAGTAAAAAAGAAGAAAGACAGCCAAAGCAGCAAGCTTCTACAAGTGCCTCATGGGATACATGAGCTCCCTGCTGATTTATAACCCCTAAGATCATCAGAATGTTACGCATCATTCAACACAGTCAGGGACAACTTCCTCTGGAAGGGCTTACCTGAGGAAGAACTGTTTCAACAGAACAGGACAGGAAAGGAATCGGGGAGAGCGGCTAACACAAGTTAGCCGGAAAGGGAAGAGCCACGTTCCTGAAGGACCAAAAAGAGAAACGGAAGCGGCACTGCTACCTCCCTAAGACCGACATGGAGTGTCGCCCGCACACGGGTTGGAGGTTCACCTGACGGGCAGGTACTCAGTGGCGGTGAAGGTGCTGCTCGGGACACCCACATCCCACAGCTCAGTTCCTGGGGTTACTTCCCGCTCTGCTTCCAATGCCAGCTCCCTGCTAAACTACCCTAGAAGGCAGCAGGTAACGCCTGCAGCACTTTGGCCCCTGACAGCCAAATGGGAGACTCACGTGCCATCCAGGCTCCTGAATTCAGCCTGCCCAAGCCCCTGTTGCTGTGGGCATCTAGGGAGCAAACCAGGGGATGCAAGATCTTTACATGTCAAGGTGTATGTAGGTCTGTCTGTCTCTGTCTGCCTTTTTCTGTCTCTGATTCTTTCTCTCTGCCTTTCAAATAAAACGAATGAACATCAAAAATGTTCAGGACTATTTATTTAAAGGCCAAGCTACAGAGAGAAGGGGAGATGGAGACGGAGAAAGCTTCCACCTTCACCCAACAAGTGGCTGCCACAGCCAGGGCGGAGCCAGACCAAAGCCTGGACGCAGAGGCTCAGATGTCTTTCCCAGGACACTAGCAGGGAGCTGGTCTGGAGGTGGAGCAGCCTGGATTTGAACTCGCGTACATACAGGATGTTTTGCATCACAGGCAGCAGCTTTATCCACTTACACAAATTATATAGTTTTTTTAATTAAAGGAGATTCATACAAGGCAAAAACATCAATGCAGGCACAATGAGAATGAGCCAATCTAAAGTTCCACAGACAACCTAAAGCATAACTAAGGTAAATCCTGGTGGGTATGCGGTGGGTAGCTTCTGAAGCCATGGTCCTCAGAGATGAGCAAGGGTGGGCGTGTGAGGAGGAAAAGAGAATGAACTTGACACTGGGTGGCCACAGGACCTTGAAGAGAAGTGTGAAAAGAAAGGGACACAGAATGTGGTAACCAAAATGTAGGAACAGGAACCTTCTCCAAACATTCGCTGGCCGTCTTGCAGAAGGGCCCCTGCACCTGCGGGTCTTCAACAAGACACTGCCACACACTACCTACCGGTACCAACTGAGCACAGGACCTGGGCAGTCCAGTTTAGCTGAATAAGCACACGGCTAAAAGAAGTGATGTCACAGGAAGGCGAGAACAGGACAGGAGCGAAGGCTTTGGATGAGTGGCATCCAACTCTGATGTGCTCAGCACTCTGTCTACTGGGAACAGAAGGCTCTGCCCGTACCTCCGAATACTTTCCTCTGTAGCTGCTCAAGCTTCGTTCCATCCTTCGTAAGCACTGAATCAACTGTTCTTTGTTGAGACTGTCCGAACCGCCAAGGGCGTCCTCGGCCTCACTCTCCATGTCAGAGGGCGGGTCAAAGGCAGCAGGGGAGCTGTCCAGCTCAAGCCGATTCAAGGACTCCCTGGACGAGGTTCGCACCAAAGACTCTTTGGAAGAAGACCAGAACAGAGATTCCTTGATTGGACTTCGAAACAGAGACTCCATGGAAGGCACCCGGAGCTGGAGCTTCTGTGCAAAAGACTGCGTGTCACCTGACTGCAACCAAAACCAAAAGGAGCATGAGGGTTCAAGTGCACACACGTCATCTCCACCACCCCCAGCCACACTAGGAGATCCACGCTACATACACGGCATTGTATGTAACACACTGCTTTCTGAAACAGTGCGGGAGTAGGCATCAGAGGCCGGGGGTGCGGCTCCCAGCTCTGGCAGCCAGTAGCATGACCTTGACTAAGTCGCTCTGGCCCTGATCTCATGGGAGTGTTGAGAGGGTGTCACCTGAACGATGCTCTCCTTGAAGGCAGTGGCCATTTGGATGCACCGTGTTTGCTGCCAGTGCATACCAAGTATGTAAAACACAGGTGTGCACCTTGGCAGGCTCCCACAATGGGGTCGACTGTCTCAAAGACCCCAGGAGTGAGATGCTCAGGGGAGACGGAGTCACAAGCGGGCAAAGATTGTGATGAAACAAAAAGATGCTCTTCAGCGTAGACTTCTAAAAATCAAACAAACCATACTAACCATCCTAACCCGTTAATAGCTGTTGAGAGTAAAGATTGGCCAAAATGGTCTACAGCCTTCACACACCAACAAATTCATTACGGTTCCATACAACAGTAAATCCCAGATAGAATACAAATGTCCAATCACTACAAGACACCTTAGACACTCACGGAAAGAACCTCAAGACACAGTAGACAATGGCAAACAATCTGGATATAAAAGAATGTGTATACTGTGAATTCATTTTGACTTAAAACGTATTATCTTTTTTTTAAAGATTTATTTCTTTTTATTACAAAGTCAGATATACAGAGAGGAGGAGAGACAGACAGGAAGATCTTCCCTCTGTTGATTCACTCCCCAAGCGGCCACAACAGCTGGAGCTGTGCCGATCTGCAGCCATGCGCCCAGAGACTCCTCCAGGTCTCCCACATATGGGTGCAGGGTCCCAAGGCTTTGGGCTGCCCTCGACTGCTTTTCCAGACCACAAACAGGCAGCTGGATGGGAAATGGAGCTGCCGGAATTAGAACCGGCACCCATATGGGATCCCAGCATGTGCAAGGCAAGGACTTGAGCAGCTAGGTTATCACACTGGGCCCCAAAGCACATTATTTTTCAATGTATGTATATGCTTGTACAAAGCCTTCGGAAGCAAAACATGAAGGATAAACACCAAAGTTAATGCAGGTACTCCTGAGTAGGATTGGGATTATTTTTCTTCTCATTTGTATATTCATTTATATATAAGGCGGACCCTGGCACTGTGCTGACAGACCACATTCAAACACAGAGACCTGGATTAAGGTTCTGGCTGCACTCAGGCTCAGCCCAGTTCCACCCACTGTGTGCATCGGAAACTACAGCAGCACATAGGGGTGCTCTCTCGCTCTAGCCAACAAATTAATTTTCAGAAAGAAATTGTATTTCTTTTAAAATCTTCCTTCCAGATGATATGACTCAACATGTTTCTAGCATGGCTGTCACTATGATTTCTTGAAACTGTAAAGTCAGGGCCCTGTGTGATAGCTCAGTGGCTACATCCTTGCCTTGCATGTGCCAGAATGGCATGTGGGCGCTGGTTCATGTCCCAGCTGCTCCTTCCCACCCAGCTCCCTGCTTGTGCCCTGGGAAAACTGTAGGCCCCGGTCTCCCAAGGGTTAACACCACAGCTTAACTTCTTTCTCAAGGTGTAACAGAATGGGCAATCTTGGCCTGATGCACTCAGCCCCCGGCTTCTCTGGCAAGTTCCCTCCTTCCTGCTTCCCCTTGTTGCATGTCCTTGGGGGAGCTTAGGTGTGGCTTAGCAATCTCCTTCCTTCCTGCTTCCCCTTGTTGCATGTCCTTGGGGGAGCTTAGGTGTGGCTTAACCATTGGGAGGATCCTGGGAGGGGCCAAGCAGACTATAAAAGATGCAGCTTGACTTCAAATAAACGGCATTCTCCTCACAGGAATGACCCACTGTGTCTGTGTGTTGTCTGTTGTCTGTCTCATAACCCTAGTCCCTTCGCTCGACTCGGAATACGTGGCGCACGACTCGGGATACGTGGCGACACGGGCGTTGCCAACAGAAAACAGTAGAGGACGGCCCAAAGCCTTGGGACCCTGCACCTGCGTGGGAGACCCATACGAAGCAAGCTCCTGGCTCCTGACTCCTGGCTCTGGATTAGCTCTGCCCCCCAACCACTGTAGCCACGTGGGGAGTGAACCAGCAGATGGAAGAGTTTTCTCTCTCTCCTTTTCTCTGTAAATCTGCATTTCCAATAAAACTAAATAAATATTCTTTAAAAAACCTATAAGGTCAGATTTCATTTTTGTTAATGCATTTACTTTATTTCCCTTAAATTTTAAAACGAGAAATAAGTGGATATTAAATCCAGATTAAACTTTTTCCAGGAAACAAGAAACACAGTTTCATTGGCAATACATATTATTTCACATGTCTGAACACTACAGTTTCAAT